AAGATTTATGTTTTCATTTTTACTATTACTTAGTATAATTAAAAGAAAAAATTTTTAATGCATTTATATTTCTTTACAAACAAGGGTAAAATTTAATATCTTATTAAAGTAGAAAGTAAGATAATTAAATTATATCATTTATATTTAAAAAGTGAAATAACTAGATATAATTTGAAAAAAATGAGTTTTTATATATTTTTATAATTTTAATTAATGTTTAATTTTTTAAAATAAAATAATAAAAAAAAAACAAGAAATCCTACAATTACAATACTGAATGGAATAAAACCTAATTTTAACAGGTCCAAAGGAATTTTCTTTTGAGCTTTAAATTTTTAAAACTGAATGGAATGAAAAGAATTAATAAATGGTTTTTCAAAACTTTCTATATAAAGAATGTAGTACTGTAGGGTTCCTTGAACCAGCTGACAATGGTCCTCCGAGAAGGCCACATCGCACATGCATGAGTCCAGATATTTTGTCCGAAACGGCAGCTGTTTCTATCAACTAATTTTGTGTTATTTACATGAATTTTATATCCACAAACTTTAGTAGTTCAAAAAATAAATATCTACGTTGTAGCAATGGATATTTGTATAAATATATAAATAAAATTTTTTATTTTGTGATCTAGGTTATGTTAAATTATAAAATAAAAATAATTAAATAAAAAATAAAATTTTAATATCAAAAAATTTATCTTTCATCTAATAATTATTATTATATAATTTAAAAATTCATACAATTTAAATTAAACAATACAACACCTTTCAGATTTACATGTCCTTATAGTGGTAGCTACAAGCATAGTCTGATACAGGCCTCCTGCTTAAGGAATTGAGGGTGTCGACGCCATACTCGTGTCGGGGAACTCGGATTTTCCTGAAATTTCTTCAATGGTAAAATAGCACATTTGAGTCCCTAAACTTTAGTTTGTGTTCATATTAATTCTCAAACTTCATATTTATTCATTTTGGTCCCTAATTTCGGGTTGCCTTCTTGCAATTTCATCCTTAAACTTTTGAAACGTTTATGCTTGAGTCTCAAATTTTCTAATTTTATGCATTTCAAATGTTTATGGCAAACATTTTGCATGTACTTTTGATTGTTTCGAATAACCAAACATAGGTTATAGAGTAATAATAGCTCATAGAAGCCTGGCTAGTCATGCACCAGTGGTGGTCTTTATTTTCCTCTCTTTTTTTTTTTTTTTTTCTATTTGTTTGATTTTTTTATCTATAAAATATAGTTTTTTTAACATTATGATCAATGACACACCATCCAAATTAGGATTAAAGAATTTTGTAATGAATTCACCTCCACTTGGCTTTCTTGATATCATTTAAAGACTTTAATTCAGATTACATATATATTGAACTCAAAGTAGCAACATCTTTGATTTTTTTCTTTTTTTTTACGGAAAAAAAACATCTCCAAATTTTTAGACCATAAACAATTGATTTTTCTCCAAGTGGCAAGTTGTGATGTGGAAGGCTGATTTGATTAAGATGAGATAAGAAAGGGAGGTAGGTGGACGAAAATTGTCCCACGCAAAATGCCATCCCCAAATAATTAGAACACCATCGTGGACTATAGTCAAAGTATTAGTACTACCCTTGCAAGAAAATCAAGACTCCTGATGATCTATTGAGAAAATATTTATAAAATATGAATGCTGGCTAGCTGCACTCCATATTTGCCGACTGCAGTTTGTATCCAAATCCTGATTGGTTTTGAGTATAATTTACTTTAAAAAATTAAAACATCTAATGAGAGGAATAATGTTTGGGCACTTGGACCAATGCTAAGTGCACATAGCACTTTCCTCGTAGAAAAAATTAAAAACTTAACTAACCCAAATTATTTCTTTTAAGTATAACTTATAGGGGTTGCGAAACGTAAAGATGTTGTAACAATTAATATATTAGGAACAATAATAAAAAA